TGCAGGCAGTGTGCACGTGCGCATGGGGGTACTTTAGAACATCCAATCTTGCACGGGGATGTGCGTGCACCCCCAACCATGCATGGGTAAGTGCAAGCATCCAACCATGCAGCAGTAATAGAGGGTGGCGGAGAGGTGGGGTGAAGTGGAGTGAGGCGAGGTGAGGTGAGGTGAGGAGAGGTGAGGTGAGGTGAGTTGAGGTGAGAAGAGCTGCCTCTGCTTCAATTGCTCTCAAATCGCTCTAGCAGCAGGGTAGGGGTCATATCAGTAGGGTGCAGAGTAGTACAGAGTGTGTGCAGTGCGGTCAAAAACTACTTCAACCACTCTAAGGTGATGTACTGAAGTGCAGTGAGGCGTGGTATAAAGTAGGTGGAGGTGGAGGGTACCTGAGGAATGGTCTTCATGAACCACTGGAACACCAGGCTGTACGCTCCCCCTGGTGGTTGCACAGCATGGCAGGGCGGCAGTGGAAAGGCACAAGCACAGGACGATTGGTAGTATGACAACAATGGGTGCTCAGCCAAGCTGACGCAGAAGCAGGCTGTAAGCAGCGAGCAGGAATTACTGCGAAAGAAGAATGAAGGCATGCTTATACGTCCAAGATAATGCCAAACAGCATCCATCAAACCATCAGCCCCTCAGAAGCCCCTCCTCCCCTTCTTTCTACTCCACCCAATTACCCTTCCACCCCATCAACTATGACCCAGGGTGTGCCAGACAGTCCCGGACAACAGTCTGGCACAAATGACTTTGTCTTGTAACTCAGGCTACATTGGGTCCGCGGAACAGCTTCCAACCACGTCTCGCTTGCTTTCGCGGACTGGTCTAATGGACCAGGATAAACCCCTGCCATTTTCCATGGCGGCCCTGCAGATATGGCTCGGACCCGAACGAAACAGACCTCAGACCTGTTGTGTTACATGGTAACTACCTAGTGCACTTGCCTGGCCTGTGAGCTGGCTGGCTCACAGCTGGTTCACCCTATCTGCAGCCTGTACTGCTTAGTCCACAGCAAAACAGGGATTCTGCAGACCCAATGTGGCATGTCCCAACCATCCACCTACCCACCCATCCGCGCACCCGCCAACCCGCCCACCCGCCCCACATACGTCTGAGGGTGTGCCAGATGGTCCCTGGCGGCACTATGTGGCGTGAGAGGTTGGTGTCGATCACCCCCGGGTGCAATGCATTCACTGTCACTCCTGCACCCTCCTCCTGCTCGCGTGGAAAAAGGGAGAGACAGGAAGGGGAGAGAGGGGAAGAAGGAAGGTGAGGGAGGGTGTTGGTGAGTAGAATGGAGATTGCCGCTGTTGACGATCTATCACCCCCGGGTACAGAGCATTCACAGTCATACCTGTACAGGGATTCAAAAGGAGAGGGTTGGGAGAGTGGGGACGAGGAGGAAGAGAAATTTGGTGAGGGATTTGAGACTGGCATTAAAAAAAAAAAGTTTTCACAGCACGTTTCCCCTGCCTACTTCTTCACTCCCCCTCCACTCATACAAACACTCGCGCACATTCCTGCACACATGCATACCCACCCACCAACCACACACACCCGCTCCTTCAAGCACACCCTCCTCTCCCACAGCCACGCACCTTGAGCCGCCGTGCGAGCTCCCGGGCGTGCAGGATATTGGCGAGCTTGGACTGCCCGTACGCCTTCATGGAGTCGTACCCCTCCTTGGCGTTGATGGCATCAAAACGGATGCCGCCCGGGTACGGGAACTGGTGGGCGGCGGAGGAGACGATCACGATGCGCGCCTCTGCACCCTCCTTCTTGGCGGTTTCCTTGAGCTTCGGCAGCAGCAGGTTGGTCAGCAGGAAGTGGCCTAAAAAGGGGTACGGGGAGTGTTGAAATTCGGTGGGGGATGTGTGCGAGAGAAGGGGGAAAGCGGATGAAAGGGAAGAGGGGGGGAGGGGGAACGGAAAAAAAGAGGGAGAGGGAGGCGGTGGAGGTGTGGTGCGATCAGCCTGAGAGCCCCATGAGCCTGGGAGGGAAACAAATGCACTCAAGCCTACGAAGAGAACAACCAGCTGATAAGACTCACTCGCACCACTCCCTCCCTCCACTCACACGGCGCACTGCCACCCCTGCTGTGCGCTGTGACCTGCTTGCCTGCCTCACCCACGTGGTTGCTGCTCCCCTGCATTCACCCACCTGGTTGCTGCTCCCCTGCACTCACCCACGTGGTTGCTGCTCCCCTGCACTCACCCACGTGGTTGCTGCTCCCCTGCACTCACCCACGTGGTTGGTGCCGAACTGGTTCTCATAGCCGTCAGCAGTGAGCATGAACGGGCAAATCATCACGCCCGCATTGTTGCTGCCGAGGGTGGGTGGGGAGGGGTGGGGTGGGGAGGGGTTGGGTGAGGTTGGGTGCGCAGTGGTGGGATTGGTTGGTGGGGTGGGTGAGGGGGGTTGTGGGATAGCAAGTGAAGAAGGAATGGGGAAAGTGGATTGGGTGCGGGGAGAGGGGAAAGGGTCTGGACGAGCGGACTAAGTAGCGGAAAGTAGAATGACTGGCATAATGGGTAGGTAGGTAAGGAGGGAGGGAAGGAGGGAGGGAAGGAGGGAGGGAAGGAGGGAGAGGAAAGGAGGAGGGAAGGTGTATTATGACGGGGCATGGGGCAGCATCGCAGTGGGGCAGCACCAACTAAATCATCTTTTCCCCCACCACAGAACCCCCACCCTTTACCCTTAACTCATTCCCCCCATTCCCCTCATTCCCCGCATTCCCCTCCACCCGCCCCTCCACCCCCGTTCCACCCCTGCCCCTCCCCTTCTCCCCCCACTCGCCCCCTCCCCCTCCCCCTCCCTTGCCCCCTCCCCTTGCGCGCGCACATGAGCAGGTGCAGCGGGCGGTTGAGGCGCAGGTAGTCCGCGGCGAACGCGCGCACCGACTTCAGCGACGCCAGATCCAGAGGCATCACGCTCACGCGCTCGCGCACCGCGGCCGGAACCCCCGCCGCCTCCGCGCTTCGCGCCTCAATGTCTTTGATGATGGCGGCTTTGGCGGCCTCCCCCGCCTCCGTGTTGCGCACCGCGAGCACCACGGACGCGCCTCGCAGCGCCAGCACCCGCGCTGTCTCTGTGCCGATTCCGCTGCTGCCGCCTTAGGGAGGAGATTCGCGCGGGGGGGAAGGAGATTCGCGGAGGCAAAGGAGGGGAGGGGAGGGAAGCGGGGAAATTGCGCACGGCGGGAGGAGGCACGCAGGGGGGATGAACTTTATTAACGAGGAAGAGGTTGTTTGGCCGTGCACGTAGGAGGAAGGGAGGAAAGGAAAAAGGGGTCGTTGTTCCCACATGACACGAGAAACTCTTGAGACATCTCACACGCTTTTCACGAATGACATGCTAACGCGCGAGCAAAATCTGGGAGCGAACGAGCGGGAGAGGGACGCGAGGAAGAGGAGACAAGCGGACGAGGGGGCGAGAGGACGAGGGGACGAGCGGAAGAGGAGATGAGCGGACGAGGGGACGAGAGGACGAGCAGTATCAGTTGACCGCGAAAGACGAGGACGAAATAATGCGAGTGGTCAAGGCGCCTCGGGAAATGGGAGAGAATGGCGCACGCTGCCGCTGCGCGTGCTGCTGTCGTGCCTCGCAGCTGCGGTATCACGTCCATGACAACCCCCTCCTCCTTCCTTCCCTTCCCCTCCCATTCCATCTCCCGCTTTCTTCATCTCCCCTTTCTTTTCCCCTTACCTCCTCCCATTCCTATCCCGCTTCCTCCCCTTAATCTACGGCGGCGACAGCAGATCTCCCGAGCCTCTTACCCGTCACGATCGCAACTTTGCCGCTCAGATCCACGCCCGCCGTCACATCTTCCGCCGTCGACCGGTACCCGAACGCTGACGTTGACGTTGACGGACCGGAGGCGGAAGCCATAACGGCGTGAGCGCGCGGAGCCGAGAGGATCAGAGTGGGCGCGAGGGGTATGGCGAGTAGAGCCCAGCGATAATGTCGCATGGAAAGAGATTGCGACGAGAGCGACGCTAGCGACGACAATGGCGACCGAGAGAGAGGACCCACGAGAGACGCGCTGCCGGGACCAGGAACCATACTCTGAACTGGACGGAGCACGCTCACACGACACGACTGTGCTGGGTGCTGGTGTAGTGGCGCGGCGACGAGAAATTTGTTATGCGATATCGCCAACTCGCTGCAGAGTGGGAGTGGTAACAAAATTGTAAATTCGGGGTGGAAATGGCAAATACAAGTGGCGTCTCGTCTGCCCCCTTGCTGGTCAGTCAGTGCTCACCACTGAAAAAATCAGATGGCGTACCGATTGCTCGAGATCCGGATTCTTGATCTGTTAGCTGCATGCATCCCAGCGTGGCAGAGCAGAACATCGACGTGTGCCAATGACGCGACAAATGACGTGTGTCGCAACGCTGCGACCACGTGGTCAACCCTAAGAGAAGGGTACAGAGTAAGCACAGAGTGATTAAGAGCTAGAGTGTAGGAGCTACCATTATGGGCATGAAATACCCAACACAAAATATTCTTACAAGAGTAGCACCTTGTAGTGCTGTATGTACCCCACTTGTTTGCTTTGGGAGAATGTCCACAACAGCTAGCCGGCTCAATTCACCATACTACATAATATTGCCCTCACAAAGCCATGTTCTACGAATGTGGCCTGAAAAGAGGACGCACCAAGTCCACTTGCCAGAAAACAAGAGAAGCAAAGATCATTTGCTCAGATCACACCAAGAAACTCATGTACCTAGCTATCTGCTAAGAATGCACGACTAGCAGAACTAACATCAATCTCCAACCTCGTCACTATTTGACTTCATGAGCCTTCACGAGGTCATGGAAAATCTTGCTCTGACTCAGCTACATTCTTGGTCAGCATGCAGTGCACGTATTCACCTTGGCCATATGTCAGCTGCTGTTAATACCACGCTCACAGGGACGCCACGATGAGTTTTCGGCCAACAACCACAGGGAAGTAGAAAGGAAGACAACCGAAGAGTAGCGCAAAGGTGGAGATGTTACACGGATACACCAGCGGCACTACTTGCAGCGTGCCTGTATATGGATCCCGCTCGGCGCTCCCAATTGCAGTGACCACATCGCCCTCTCGCACTGCTGTCAATGGCCTGCATGCACCAGATGGTGGGTGCGGGGGAGGAGAGACAAGGAAACGGGGTGTCAGATGATGCGGGCAGGATGAGTGGAAAGGGAGGGGGGAAGTAGGGGAAGGGGGATGTTGAGTGGTTTAAAAGAAGGCTGTCTGCAAAGGAATGCATGATGAGTGGAACAGAAGAGCTGCATGGAATGGAACCCAGCAGAGTACTATTTCTGCATACCAAACCTCTCGCTAGCGCACTTCTTACCTAAATGACTCGCCATCCACCTCCTCCCACCCATCTCTTCCCATCCATCTCCGCTCACCCATCTCCTCCCATCCATCTCCGCCCACCCATCTCCTCCCATCCATCTCCTCCCATCCATCTCCTCCCACCCATCTCCTCCCACCCACCTCCTCCCACCCACCTCCTCCCACCCACCTCCTCCCACCCACCTCCTCCCACCCACCTCCTCCCACCCACCTCCTCCCACCCACCTCCTCCCACCCATCTCCTCCCACCCACCTCCTCCCACCCACCTCCTCCCACCCACCTCCTCCCACCCATCTCCTCCCACCCACTCACCCTTCCACAACGTGCTGTGTTGCTCACCTGGATGGCTCGCCGCGTGCCCGTCGCCTGGCACTAGGAAGCCGCACCATCTCCAGGGCGCTGCTCTCTGCTGCGTGCTGAGCGCGCACCACCACTGACACCCGCGACACCACGTCCGTCACCACAAAGTCCACCGCCGTCACCCGCCCTTCCTCCTCCTCCGCCTCCTCCGCCACCTCCCCCCTTCCGCCGCTGCCGCCGCCGCGGTTGCTGCCACCGGCCTCCTCCCCTTCCTCCCTTATGCCGCTTGCAGCAGTGCCGCTGCTGCCGTTTCTTATGCTCGGTGGCGCTGCTGCGGCTGCTGCAGCTGCTGCTGATGCAGCAGCAGAGGCGGAAGCGGCAGCTGCAGCCGTGACAGCAGGCGAGGGAGCAGAGGAGTAAGGGTCGGGGTTTGTTGGTGCGGTGTTGGCGGGTTCGGAACAAGGCTGGGTGCTTTGCTCCGCTTGGTACACCAGCAGAGGGCGCGAGTGGAAGCCCTGCAAGGGAGGGGGGAAGGCGAAAGGTGGAACGGGGAAGGGGGAAGGGGGAAGAGGCGGAGGGAAGTGGGAGGAAAGCGATGCATCATGCACGATCAAGACTGCTCAGTATGTAGTTTCGATAAGTACCTTCTTTGGCAAAGGTTCTCAATAAGCATTGAGAAGGTTCCTCCCCTTACCCCCAGCCTACCTTCATCATTTGCTTGTCCCCGCCATCGTTTCCCCCTTCCCCCTGCTCCGCCAGTAGCTGCTCCACATCCAGCGCGCACGCCACTCCGCACGCCGCCACCGCCTCTCCCCTCCCCGCGACCTCCGCCGCCTCGCCATCTTCCGCCCTCCCCGCGCCCCGCCGGCCCCCCACCGCCACCCCTTGCGCCTTTCCCGCGGCCTTCATCTTCCGTCTGAGAAACTCCCGCAGCACGGCCGCGCGCGCAAACGCCGCCACGACGACGTTCCCCACGAGCTGCGCCGCCACGAGCGCGCTGGCGCACCCCGCGACTGCCGCGCGCGCGGTGGCGGACCACGCCTCGGGGAGGCAGAGCCAGAGGAGCGCGCACCCGGTGATGAGCTGCACGTTCACCAGCGCAAACACCGCGAACCCGATCCCCCACACGGCCCACTCCCCCTCCCGCTGCGCGCGCGGGACGGCCGCCGCTCGCCTCCGCGCTGCAGATCGCGACGCGGCCCAGGATTTGACCCCCAGCCAGAGGGAGTTTTTCGCGCCGCCGGGTTTCACGGCGACGCTTTGCGGAATACGGAGGGAGGTTCTCCCATCGGAAGGCGTCGTTCCCGCGGCGTAACAAACGGGGCGATCGTAACCGTAACCATAACCGTAACTGAAAACGTTACCGTCGACGTCCTTACGTCGTGCTACATGCGCTCCGCCCAGCCTATCCTCCTCAGACTCGACACAAGCTTCTCGCCACGCGGTCATGAGATTCGCGGGTAGGCCCGCGGGTCCTACCGCTTCCGCCGCGCTTGCGCCAGTTGTGCCTTCCGCCCCAACCTGCGCGGTTCCTCCTCCAGCACTTTCCCCGCGGCGATTTTGCGCGCGCTCCAGGGCATGCCTTAACGCGTGCTGTTGGTTCTCTATAGCGCGTACGTCCGCTTGCACCTGCCCTTCCGCCTCTTCCCCTTCGAGCCAACCCCAAGCCTGTCCCCTTCCGCTTCCGCTTCCACCTCCGCCTCCGCCTCCGCTTCTGCCGTCCGCACCCGCTGCGCTTCCGGCTGCTCCGCGCATGGCGAAGCCCATGAACGAGCCAACCACAGGGGCTTCCGCGTCTGGCCTACTCCGCCCGCCCGCCTCCCCTTCTCCAAATCCTTCGCTGCTACCGCCGCCTTCCGCCCCGCTCCCGCCCGCCCGGCCATCCTCGTGCAAGTAGCAGGGCTCTGGCAGAGCGCCTTCTTGCGCTGAGGCGGAAGATTCGGGGGAGGATGCGGAGGAGGACGAGGAGGAAGCGGAGGTGGGCGGAGAGCACGCGCCAGACGAAGGCGGGGAGACGGAAAACGGGGACGGCGGATTGCTCAACTCAAGTTCGCGTGGTTTCGTCGCGTACACCGATTGGTGCGCTACGGCCGCGGCCGCATCTGGTTTTGTGTGCAGTTCCGCCTGACTTTGCTGCGCCATCCTTCCGTAGTGCCGCCCGTGCTCCGCGCTGCCCCGGCCGTTGTCCCCGAACCAGGCGGACCACCATGCGCCGCCTCCCCTGGGTTGGTGGGAATCCGCGTGGGCAGCCCCTTGCGCCGCCTCGAATGTGTTCGGCGAGCGCGCGTAGTCGTGTTCCGCCTTCAGCGTATTTTCCATCGCTGCGCGAGCGTCGTACGCTGGGATTGCCGGCGGGGGCTGCTCCGCTGCCCGTTTACCCAGCATAGCAGCTGCGATAGCTCGCCACCGCGAGACGTTACTATTACCAGCACCGCCGCCGCCGCCGCCGCCGTCACCGCCGCATGCGGTAACGCCGGGTTTGCCGGTGTCGTTATATCCGGCGGAGTCGTTAAGTACACGTGTCGAAGCGTCCTTGGTCGCCCCTGCCATAGCATGCCGTAGTGCAGCCGTCGCCGCAGCCTCAGCCGCAGCCTCCGCCTCCGCCTCCGCCACCTCGCCTTTGTCCCCCGCTCCCCACTCTATCCCCGCTCCCCCCGCTGCTGCCCTGCCGCCCTTCGTCTCCGCCTCCTTGAACGACGCGCTGTCCTTCTCCCCCAGGATTATCCCCAGCAGCGCCTGCGCGCGCCATGCCGCGCGCGAGGCACCCGCCTCCGCGCTCATCTCTACGAGCTCGGCCTCCTCGGGGATGGGCAGCATGAGAAAACCTTCATCTGCCCGGGCTCGCCAGTTGCCTATTCGCCCCGCGACGGAAGGCTTATGGAGGGAGCTGGGAGGCCCCGTGGCGAAGGCTGGCGAAAAGTCCATCGCCGGCAGATATGGAGAATATTCGGTTTGAGGGAGTGTATGAGATTTGAGGAAGTATATGCATCGGTTTGTCCAGTGTCTTGTCAAAGTCGACTGGAGCGTCTTCGAATTTGATGGCTTACAACTTCACAGGTGGCTGGCCGTTCTTCTGGGCCGGTTTCAGGTGCCTACACTAGGAGTTCGTTTAGCTGCAGTATCGATAGTATCCGAATTCGAGCTTCTTAAAATCGGTTGCAGGCTATGGTGGGAGTAGCTACCATATTTAGTCGACGCATCTCGGGACGTCTTAGTACAAAGGGTGAATTTTTCATATTCTTTTACGTTTGCTTGCAGAACTAACCTTTGAGGACTGCGAGTGACGGGAGCATATTCAAAGCTAGCAGATATGGTCGACAAGAGTGGACCTGGAAGATAAAACGGCGAATCGGCCGAGGTTGGGAGTGCCTTGAGTAGCAGCAAGCTCCTCAGGCTCCACTTCACACGCAAGGATGCACTTCTCCCTGTTGGCACTTGTATGCGAGGCAAACGGTGCTTCAGGCAGGCGTCTCCTCTGTCTTCCTCGTTCCTCCACGTTGGATTTGTCAAAACCGTCATTTCTATCTCCCGTCCCTGGCCTGCCAATTTCTCCCCCCCTCACATGCTCGGCTGGCCGTAGGCGGGGGCAGTGAATTTATCGCGCGCTTCGACCGGCCCGCGTCGCCAGCAGTCAGAGCCTTCGCGCGGTTTCTTTCGGCTTCTTCTTGCCCGCGCTTCGGTTCGTCTCCGTCCGTTGGTGCAGGGATGGTGTCAGCTCAGCAGCAACACCGACGAACCACCTGGAGGTTGAGTTGAGGGCTACGTGGCAGTGCAGGGTTGGGTACCTTAGTGTCGGGAGAGGGCGGTTACCAGCAGTTTCTATAAGCCCCTGAAATGGAAATTGCGAACTTCCTGGAACCCGATGGAAATATGGCGACCAAGCTTTGAATCGAAACCACCAACACTCTAAACCAATAGAGCGTGATAACGAGAGAATTGCTCGAAACCCTTGTTTGAAGATTCAGCGTTGCCCACGTGGCTACGATTTGCTCGCGTGGTTCTCAAATTCAGCGATAATTCCAGCGCTTTTCTTTACCCTAGCACGTTACCCTACAAGGGTTTGTAGCCCTGAAACTTCTTTACTGGTCATTGCGCGATCTTTATTATCCGAAATTTATGTTCGTGACCCTATATGACCGCGCCTGATTGGACACGCATTGCCAAAAAAGGCACCGCGCATATAATCGACCAATCATGCGCGGTCATTAAAGGTCCAGCGCATTGACGCCCGGGCACTGCAGTTTAAGATCGCGGAAATATATTATCGGGCATTAATATATGGATGCGAGCGACCATTAATGGCCGCGCATGATTGGACGATTATATTTGCGTCCAATCAGACGCGATCAGATAGGGTCACGAACATAAATTTCGGATTTAAAAGATTGCGCAATAACCAGCACAAAAGTTTCGAGGTTAAATATCACTGAAGGGTAATGTGTCTTAAAAAAAAAGACGTTGAGAATTCCCTGGCGAGGCCACTCGCGCAATTATCAGTTATTTGTAGAGCGACGCGAGCAAATGGTGGCCACGTGTGCAACTCCGAATCTTCAATTAAGGGTTTGGAGCAAATCTCTCGCGTGATAACATATGCGTGATGCGAGTTACCAAATGCGTGGAAACACAGTTATATGTTACTGTTATGAGTTGTACTAAAAGAGTGCGCGGAAGACTTCATAAAAGGGATGAGAACTACAGAATGATCAAGAATGATAAAGGAGCACGCATTTATAGGGTGGACCTCTGGACGTGGATGGGTTGGAAGTGTCGCGATTGGTGCGGGGTGACTCGGAAGTGGTTCTGGCCGAAGTGTAGGCCGAACCCAGGGGATTTTATCAAGGTAATTACCCTGATTTCGGGGTGATTTCAGGCTTCCACTTTACGGAGACTGAGATTTCAGATTTACTGAGTTCTCAACCTTGTTCAAATCAGAGTAATAGTTTTCATATCCCTGATTTAGAGTTTAGTGTAACAGACTCGCCTGTTAGTGGATCCTGACTTAATAGGGTATTGAATTTTTGGTCCCTGATTTTGACCTTATCGAGAGGAAGTTTTTTGGAAATTTCCTTCCGATACCCCCCTTCGGATTGATTGCAGTACAACCAGCGCGTGAAGCGTCTGCGTGACCAGTGAGGACAACTCTAGCCCGACCTCCAAGCACGAGCCCCATGCCCGACGTACTGCGCAGGTAGCGCAACACCCTCATAGCTGCATCCATGTGCTCTGGTCGGTGTCTCCCAGGAGCAACATAGCGTGCCAGGATGCTAAGAGGGAATGGCAGGTCAGGTCGAGTGCAGGTCATCACGTACATGAGGCAGCCCACAAGCTCTGGGTACAGGCCACTCGGCTCTACGGACTCATCCGAAGGCAGAGCTGAGAGCGAGTGGCGAGTAGACAGAGGAGTGGCCTGAAGCGAGGAGAACGTGAAGTTGAAGCGCTGAAGGACCTGCTGCACCATGTGTGACTGAGTCAGGGTAATGGTGCGCCGTGCTCTGTCCCGGGTGATCTGCAAGCCAAGATAGCTGCGCAGCTCACCCAAGTCTGTGCACGTGTGTCTCTTCTGCAACTCCGACTTCACGTGGGCCAGTCCAGCAGTGTCAGCAGTAGCGAAGACCAAGTCGTTGACGTACACGAGGATGTAGAACGGCGGCAGCGAAGTGTCGGTGCGTAGAAACAGCGACGGGTCAGCAGTGGAAGGAGTAAACCCAAGAGCCGCAAGCGTAGTCCTCAGTGTGTCGTGCCACTCACGGAGCGCCTAGCGGAGACCGTAGACTGGCCGCCGGAGGCTCCACTGGGTACCAGGAGAAAAACGACCCAGTGAAGCCAGGTGGGCGGCGCAGCCAGATCTCCTCGTGCAGGCTGCCCTGCAAGAAAGCTGTGCTGAATTCAAGAGAGTGAAGCTCGTAGTCACGCTGAGCGGCGACGTGCAGCAGCACCCGAAGAGTGGTCATCTTCGGGGATGGGGAGAAGGTCTGAAAGTAGTCAACTCCCTGTCGCTGACTGAAGCCTCTAGCAACGTAACGCGCCTTGAAGACAGTCGGAGAACCCGGCGGCGGCTTCACCCTGAAAATCCACATGCCATCGACAATGTTCGCCCCAGGTGGGGGAACCTCGTCAACGTAAGTGCCTATGGACTTCTAAGAAGCCATCTCTGCGTCCATGGCTGTCTGCCACTGAGAGGAGTAGGGACCCTCTATCGCCTCCACGTAAGAGCGCGGGGTCGGGATGTCTGGTGCATCCGGGTCTCCCTCAGGGGCAAGCAGCATGGACACGAGATGAGGTAAAGCAGCAGCAAAACGCTGGAACTCCTCCTGCCTGTCCTCAAGGACGTCCGTGCCAAGAGCACACTCACCCCCGACGGACGGAGGACAGACAGACTCATACTCAGCAACAAGACTAGCGGCGTAGTCTAGACGACAGTGAGCAGCAAAGTCGACCAGCTCAGCAACAAGAGCCGACGCATCAGTAGACTCAAAAGAAGGGTCAGTGACAACAATGGCCAGGAGACGCGTGACAGTAAGACTAGCAGCACGAAGGGAGTCAGACTCCGTGTCCGGACCGACAGCAAGGGAGGACGCAGGAGGAGACGGCAGAGGGACACGCTGCGGAGCAGTGGAAGGACGCAGTGCCATCTGGTGCGTGCCGGGGACAGGAGGAGGACGCGGACGCGGAACGCGACGACCAGTGCGAGCAGCGCGAACAGGCGACGCAGGGCGAGACGCAGGCGCACGACGCTCAGCGAGACCTCCAGTCGGACCAGTGTAAGGAGAAGGAGCAGGCAGTGGGGAGGCTGGCTGTAACTGCGACGGCGGCTGGACAGGCAGTGGACACTCTAAGGGAGGAGTAGGACCAGCAGAAGGCGGGAGACCAAGAACCTGCTAAAGGAGCGGAACGAAGTACGGCTGCGGCCGCGTAGCACCTCCAGAATCAGCAGAGACAGCACCAGCACCCCCAGCCTCAGATCCAACTCCTGCAGCACCACCAGCAGCTCCAGCAGCGCCAACTCCAGTACCTCCAGCAGCTCCAGCTCCAGCAGGACCACCAGAAGCCCCAGCAGCTCCAGGAGCGCCAGCTCCAGCACCTCCAACAGCACCAGCACCAGCAGTACCTCCAGCAGCTCCAGCTCCGGCAGGACGTCCAGCTCCAGCAGCTCCAGCTCCTGCAACACCACCAGGCCCAGCAGCTCCAGTACCTCCAGTACGAGCACCTCCGGGACCAGCGGCTCCAGCACCTCCAGCAGTACCAGTACCAGCAGCACCTCCGGCAGCACGTCCAGCTCCAGCAGCTCTAGCTCCCCCAGCAGCTCCAGCAACAGTAGCACCGCTAGCAGGACCTCCAGCAGCTCCAGCTCCAGCAGCAGCACCTCGCTGGAGGCTCCAGCGGCGAGCAAACCACTCCCGCAGCTGCGGTGGCGAGAGAGGCCCCCCCCGAGACGAGGCACCCGCAGGAACTCCAGCAGACTCAGCACCCCCAGTCTACGCAACCGGAGGCTCAGCACCCTCAAGCTCAGCACCCCCAGGCTCCGCACCCTCTGAATCAGCACCCCCAGGCTCCGCACCCTCAGACTCAGCAACCCCAGGCTCAGCACCCCCAGACTCCACACACTCTGTCTCAGCACCCCCAGGCTCCACACGCTCAGGCTCAGCACCCCTAGCAATACCAGAGTCAACAGCTACCTCGACAGGCTCGACTGCGTCTACCTGAGAGACACCTGAGGGGGCAGGACCCTGAGGGGGGAGGGGGTCTACCGGAGGAGGACCTGGCGCTAGGAAGAGCGGCGGGGGGGGAGGGGGGCAGTGCGGTAGGGGAAGAGACGGTAGTAAGGAACCGACTCGTCAAACGTGACGTCCTGAGAGGACAGAACACGGCGCGAGGTGGGGTGGTAAAACTGCCAACCAGGCGCGTCAGGGGGGAAGCCAAGGAAG